AGACAGGCTGAAACTGTGACAGCCACATGGAGGTCCCAGCAGGCAGATGGACAAGGTGAGGAGGGGGCAGGTGGTCACCAATAGGGTGACACCCAAGGCAGACAGAGAGGGGGATGGGCAGGCATCCCGTCCTCTTGGGAGTTGCTGGTGGGAGGGGTGGGCAAAGCAAGGGGTGAGTTGACAGGGAAAGGGCCATGTCTGAGATCCCCCACGTTTCCCAGGACCTGGAGGCAGGCCACCCTGGGTTCCAGCATCTTGTTGCTCCTCTCTGTTACTGGTGAGTTCCCCAGGAGGATGGGAGCCCCATCTCCCCTTCCAGGTTTTGTCCCCAGCCTGGCACGGAGGAGGGCAAGGGGCTCCCTCTGTACCTCCGATCACCTCCACCTCTTGGGGCCCTGCCACCTCTGTCCCCCTGTATGTTTTGCACTATCTCTCCTCTGTGTCTTCCTGTCACCATGCCTCTGTCCTTTCTCTCTCTCTGTGGATCTCTGTCTCTGTCTCCCTCTTATCTTTAAGTATCCCTCTGCCTTTTTCTCTTTCTCTTCCTCTCTGTGTCTCTGGGCATTGCTGGGTCTTTTCGTATTTGTCACTGTGTCCATGTCTCCCCGACCCTCACTCTCTCTCAGGGGCTCTCTTTCTCTTGTGTCTTCGTCTCTGCATCTCTCTCCCTATCTCTGACTCCCAGTCTCTAGATCTCTGACCCCATCTCTCTGGCCCACACCCCGTCCTCAGGGCTCAGTCAACCCGCCACAGAGAAGATTATCAAAGGCAAGGAGTGTGCCCGTCACTCGCAGCCTTGGCAGGTGGGGCTGTTTGAGGGCACCCGCCTGCGCTGTGGGGGCGTCCTCATTGACCGCAGGTGGGTCCTCACAGCGGCTCACTGCAGTGGCAGGTAAGCCCCTGTCTGGATGGTCCCTTCTAGGGGTAGGCAAAGGAAAGGTGGTGGGAAAGGGAGCCCTCAGGGTAAGGGCTCAGGAGAGGGGGGTGCCATGGAGCAAGGAGATGGTCCTGCCACAAGAAGGTCTGAGACTAGACAAAGAGTAAGACTTCCTCAACAGTGGGCTGGGGTGAGGTGGGGAGGGCAGGAAGGGTCCTGGAACCTGCCCACCTACCTGCTCCTTTCCCTTGTGTTCCCCTTCCTTCCCAGATGACCTCTGTCACCATCCCAGCCTTTCTCTGACCCAGTCTGGGCAACCTCTCTGGGCCTCAACGGTCCCATCTGTAAAATGAAGGGACTGGACTTTTCCAGTCTGAAACTTCGAGGTTTTTTCAAAAGGGAAGTTTCAGACACGAAGAGATGGATTGATTCAGGGACAGAACAGAGAGAGTCCACTCATTACTCACTCGTTCCTTCAGCTGAGGGTGCTGACAGCCCAGGCAGCCTCTAGGTGGTAAGAACAGAGCAGTGAGTATGACAGTTGGATGTCTCTGCCTCAGCTAAGAGGATCAGGAAGGGACAGAGATGCAGGGGCTCGGGGAGAAGTAGGCAAACACAGGAAATGGAAAGATGGTGACAGAGGTGAGAGACAGAGCAAGCCTGTGAGGGAGTGAGGACAGACACTGAGATGCAGAACAGCAGAGAGGCTGGAGGGCCGGGGATCCAGGGGCCCACCCTACCCTCACTGAGCCACCTTGACCCCCAGCAGGTACTGGGTGCGTCTGGGGGAGCACAGCCTCACCAGGCTGGACTGGACGGAGCAGATCCGGCGCAGCGGCTTCTCCATGACCCACCCTGGCTACCAGGGAGCCCTGCATAACCATGACAATGACCTCCGGCTCCTGCGACTGGGCACCCCCGTCCCTTTGACTCGCAGCATCCAGCCCCTGGCCCTGCCCACCACCTGTGCAGCGGCCGGCACCAAGTGCCAGATCTCAGGCTGGGGCATCACCAATCAACTATGGAGTAAGGGGACATCAGTGTCAGGGCTCAGGATGGGCAAAGTCTGGGGTGTAGGGCAAGAGATCAGGAGTCATGCCATTTCAACAGAAGGCTGTGTCAAGGGTCAAACATGAGGACTGTGGTGTGGGGTCAGAGATCATGGTGGGCCAGGGGTCTTGGGAGTCAAAGTGGTTAAGGGGTTGGGTATAGAGTCAGAAGTCATGGGTCAGGATGTGGTTGTAGGCCAGAGTTATGGCAGGGGTCATCAGACTGGAGCAAAAGGCATATATAAATAGAATCTTGGGGTAACGGGTCATGGACTCGAGTGTTAGAGGTCACTGTAGAATTGAGGACATGGGATCCAGATGTTGCACAAGCTGGCCATAATCTGAGGGTGGAAACTGGGTTCGATCAGGGATCACTGGTCTGGGATTGGAAGCCCTAGAGGTTAGGGGTCATGAGGTCCCGGCTCAAATAAACAGGGAAAATAAGTCACTTTGGAGTTGGCACCAATGGTTTATCGCTGAGTTTAGAAGTTTAAGAGAAGACGAGGAGTGTAGGGTCTGGAGACAGAGAGGGAACAGGAGGTCAAGTTGGGGCCTAAGTATAATAAGATTGAAGGTCAAAGGTCACAGCATCTGGAATTTAAAGAGAAAAGTGGGTCTGGATTCATCGCTTCTGAGGTTGGAGGGACAAAGGGTGTCTTGAGTTATGGCACTCAGTCATAGGTTAAAGGTCGGGGGACTGGGTCAATGAACTGGGGCAAGGGTCACTATGAAATGAAGTAATAAATCTGAAATTTAAACGTTTGCAGATTGTAGTGGGGGGTCATAGGAAAAGGGCAGGGTATAGACTTATATTTGGCTTCCTTGAGTCGTGGGAGGTAGCCTCCAAATGGGAAGCTTTGGGAAACCCTGTGGCTTCTGTCTTCCACCCCCAGACCCATTCCCGGACCTGCTGCAATGCCTCAATGTCTCCATCGTTTCCAGTGCCACCTGCCGGGCTGTGTTCCCCGGGAGAATCACGGACAACATGGTGTGTGCCAGCGGCACGGAAGGGGCGGATGCCTGCCAGGTGAGTGAATGCCGGCACCGCATGGTCACCCAGGGCAGGAAGCTGGGGACAGAGCAGGGAGGATGGGGGGGGAGAGAGATGTGGTCAGAAAGACCTTCCTTCTGGATCCGGAGGCGCAGGATAAGGCAGGAAGAGCCAGGTGATGGAGGACAAAGAGAAGGAGGGGTGGGTGGAGAGAACAGAGGGAGGGAGGGAACAGAGAAGGACAGATGGGAGGGGCACAGGAGAGGGAGAGGAAGAGGAAGAGAAGGTGGGGGAGGGCAAAGAGGTGGCAGAGATTTGGAACTGAGGTGTGTAACCGGTTGTCTCTCCCCATTCCATCCTCCAACTGATGCTGGCTCAGGCAAGAGCGAGAGAATCTAGCCTGGAGGCAGGAAAGGAGGCTGGTGGTCTCTCCTGCCCTCGAATTGGGTTCCCTTGCTCCCTCGGCTCCTCCAGGTTGGAGGCTGCCCCACCCCACTGGCTAAGGCTCCAGCCTTTGTGCCTGAGAGAACCTTTATAGATCCCGCCTTCCTTTGCTGGGATTGGTCACTGATGGTGGTGCTCTTTCCCTCATTGGTTAGCACACCAGCCAGTCATCCTCTATAGAATTCTTATAGGTCCCCGCCTCCTTTGCTGGGATTGGTCGTTGAAGATACTCATTGGTCAGAGCTCTAGCCGTTGTCCCTGAGAGACCCCCTCCCCCACCTTTTATGGAGTCCTGCCTTCCCTGGGATTGGCGTCCTAGGAACAGCATGTTCTTCCCTGTTGATCCGTCACTGCTGTGGAGGGAACGTGGGGGACGTGGCAGTGCTCTTCTCTGATAACCAGGCTTGGATCCTCTGTCTTCAGGGCCTGGGAATGGGTTTGGGGGTCGGGGCAAGGACAATGGGAACAGGATTTCTCCCTTATTCATTTGGTGCTGCTTCTCCTTCTGCATTCCAGGGCGACTCTGGGGGCCCCCTGGTGTGCGGAGGAGTCCTTCAGGGTCTGGTGTCCTGGGGGACCGTGGAGCCTTGCGGGCAAGAAGGCATCCCAGGGGTCTACACCAATATTTGCAAATATGTGGACTGGATCCGGATGGTCATGAGGAACAACTAACCTGCTCCCTCCACCTCCACCCCTCAGCTTGGGGGCCACACTGACTGGCCCTCGGAGCACCAACGCGTCCTCCGTTATCACCCCTGGCTCCAGCTCCCCTTGGACTGGGGATCTTCTTCCCAGAGCTCCAACTCCAGCCAGCCCTTCTAAGTCCCAAGTTTGGCGGAGGAAGGAATGTGTGACTTCCTGGAATAAATATAACGAGCTATGTCTGTCTATTTGATATCCCTGTGCTGGTTGACACAGGAGGGAGGCTCATCAGTCCCCCAATCACAGGTGTAGGAATAGAGACCACAGAGGGCAAGAGTTTTCCCTCAGGGGTCACTCAGGAACGGAGGAGAAAAGGTTACTTATAACAATAAAAATAAGGGCCTTTTTTTTTTTCTCTATCCAGCACTTTAGGAACAGTGCCCATGAAGGACCTGAGGAGGGGGGAAATTATTGGCCCCAAAATACCAAATGAAAATTGCAAAATCAAAATTCACGACCATTTAATTAAATGTCTATAAAATGTAACATTCTTCCACCTGGCCAATTCCAACTTGGCTTTGCTGGAGCTGTTGAGCACACATTATATTTAATGTGGGATGTGGGTTCGTTTTAATATGTCTGTGATGATGGAAGGCGGGTGTAGCCTTGGAAAGCAAGAGGAACCAGCCTAGGTCTTAAAGTAATCCTGCCCACCCCTTGGGTTCTGTCCTCACCGCCATCCAGGAGGTGCAAAGGGAGCTTCTCCCCAGTGAGTGGAAGGGGGATTTGGGGTGGGAGAGTGAAGGCTGATGGTGACAGCGAGGGAACACTTGCTGGATACCGGCAGTGCTCGGCTCTCCTGGAGTCTTCATCCCAACCACCCCAAGGCAGGGCTGTCCCCCCATGTCGCAGATGAAGAAACTGAGCCTCACCAGGGTGGAGTTCCTTGGCTCACGTCACTGTGGTAGGAAGAGGCAGAGCCGGGGTTTGAGGCCAGGGCTGGCTGCCTTAGGAACCTATACCCAGTCGTCTTGCCCCACTTCTGGTTAGGGGAGAGAGGAGGGCAAGACAGAGAGCAGGAGATCTCACTGATAACAAGCAGGCCCGGAAATAGAGGGATCGGCAGACAGGAAATTGAGGTGGCTCAGATTCGGAAGTCATCGGACCTAAGTCTCGCAGCGAGTAAGTGCCACAGCTGGATTTGGGGGCGCCCCAGGGTTCCCGGGAGGCGGAGGCAGGAGGGGGGAGTGGAGGGAAGGGAAGGGGGCAGAAGTGAAGCCCCAGAGGAGCGCTAGGGTTTGGGGCCTTGCAGAGGGCTGACTCCCTTTCCTGGGCCTTGATTCCCACAGGCCCCAACCTGCCTCCCCCACCCTCCCGTCCTGCCCCTTCCTTCGGCTGGCAGCAGCCCCACCTCTGTGACGCCCCAGTTTCCCCCCTCCTTGGAATGGAGAAGGGAGGGCCCAGAAGAAGCCAGGGGCCCACCTGGGCTTGGGCTGTGGGAAGGGAGGAGCAGGGACAGGAGGAGAGACACAGAGCCTGGGAGGATGAGGTGGAGGGAGAGGGAGAGGAGGTGGAGGGAGGCAGAGACCAAGAGACACAAAGAAAGATAAAGAATTAAAGGAGTCCTGCAGAGAGGTACTGGGAGAGACACAGAGATAGACAAAAAGACGGAAAGGCACAGGCACAGAGAGGCAAAGAGAAATATGGCCACGGAGTTACAGAAAGGAAGCAACCAGCAGAGATGAAGAGAGAGACAGACCAGGACGGATGCGGGGTGGGGTGTGGGGGGCAGAAACAGAGAGAAGAGGGGCTTGGAGAGGTGACAGAGGCAGACCGGCAGGCACACACACCCCATCCCCAGGGCTGTAAGGCAGGGCTAGGAGGCCCAGTCATCAGGGCCACCCCGCACCTGCCTTTCACCTGATGCTCTGACCCAATCTGCCTTTGACCCAAACCGCCACAGCTGCTGCCGCCACCAACCCAGCACCCAGGGCCCCAGTGCCAGAGCCCGTGAGTCGGGCAGGGAAGGGAAGACCCTCTTGCAGGCGCCTGTGCTCCTGGAGCAAGTCAGGCCTCCCTGCCTCCACACCATTTCTCCCTCTGCTCTGTCCTTCTCGGCTTGGGTGGGTGCTCTCTGTCTCTCTGTCTCTCCAACTGGCTGCCCTGCCCCCGACTTCAGTGACCTCTGATCCCCGCTTTGATAGCTGAATCCAGCCCTCCACCCCACCCCCCTGCAGGCCAGGGCAGCCGAGGGCACTTGCCCTTCCCCTGACCAGCCCCGCCCAGTTCCATCTGTCTGTCCTTCAAAGGGGCAGGGATTCAGAAGGACAGGGCCCGTCCCAGGCTGAGCCCCCTACTGCATGCCGGGCAGCCCTCAAAGGGCCCATATCACCCTGGGGTGGATGCAGAATGGGGCTGGGGGGGCCGGGCCAGGTCTCAGGAGGGCAAGAAGGAAAACATTCTCCCAGATGCATCTCACAGGTACTATGGCTGACTTAAAACAGGGCCAGCTAATACCTTGCCCCAGCCAAAGCCCCTCGCAGCATCTGCCACATCCTCCTTGGCTCTGGCTATGAGAAGCTTTTAGCTGAGATCAGGCCCCTCCAAGGCCACCTTGATACCAAAGATTTGTTTTAAAGGTTTGGAGGCTGGGATGCTGTGAGAACTTGGGTATTCCTCCAACCCTGTTGTTTCTCCCTGGGGGCAGCCAGAGCAGGCTGGGGAGGGAGGAGAGGGCACGAACCAGCCCCTCCATAGTCTCCCCATAAAGTGATTGGGCCCCTTGTCCCTTCTTGTTCCCAGAAGAACCTGGGGCCTGCCCTTCCCCTCTCCAGGCCAAGATGATTCTTCGATTAATCATGCTTGCTCTGCTGACAGGTACGGTAGGGGATGGGGAAGGGCAGGGGCCTCCCTCTCCAATCTCTAGGCTCCCTCAACCCTCTGTAACTGGCTACTGACTGAGCCAATGCTGAAAATATAGAATAACGCATAGGGCACCTAAATGGATATAGGAGCCATAATAAGGTCCCGATGCCCCTTGCTGCATAATCCCTTTAGATGCTAGAATGGGGAGAGGTCAAGGAGGGTCCCAGGGGAGGGGCCGGGGCAGCTGCAGTGGGGCAGAAGACACTCCAACAGCGCAGAACGGTAGCTACTGACCTTGCAAGCAGTACGGAAGGATTTCGGTTTGATACCTGGCTGGCCTATCCAGACAGTGCCTCCCAGCGGGACACCAGGCTGAGACCCAGACCACCCACCCCTTGTCTGCTCTCCCCACCCCCACTTTTGGGAGTTCTCTCATGCCTGAGCCCCCTCTTTTGCCCTCACTCCCCTCCAGGGCATGTAGGGGGAGAGACCAGGATCATCAAGGGGTATGAGTGCTCTCCTCATTCCCAGCCCTGGCAGGTGGCTCTGTTCCAGAAGACACGGCTGCTCTGTGGGGCAACCCTCATCGCTCCCAAATGGCTCCTGACAGCAGCTCACTGCCGCAAGCCGTGGGTGCGGGGGCTGGGGCGGGCCGGCAGGGGGCTGGAGATGGAGAGATGGATGGAGAGGGGCTTGGGGATGGGGAGGATACAATCGGGTCCAGGATGGGCGTGGGTGGGGTAGCATGGATGATGGACACCGAGACAGGATGGAAGGACGGAAGCCATCGGACCTGGGATGGCGCTGGAATGGGGATATGGTTGGGGAGGGGTCCAGTGGGAAGTGGGGGTGAGGTCGGAAGTGGGGCTGTGTTCCTTTGTTCTCTCCGGGGCTCTCACCCCTTCCCCTTCCCCCATGTCTCTCCCCACCTCCCCTCTCTTGTCTCTCCCTGACCTTCCATCTCTGACCGCCCTCTCTCCCACCTCAGCCGATACGTGGTTCATCTGGGGGAACACAACCTCCAGCGGCGGGATGGCTGTGAGCAGACCCGAATGGCCACTGAGTCCTTCCCCCACCCAGACTTCAACAACAGCCTCCCCAACAAAGACCACCGCAATGACATCATGCTGGTGAAGATGACGACAGCAGCCTTCATCACTGGGGCCGTCCGACCGCTCACCCTGTCATCTAACTGTGTCACTGCTGGCACCCGCTGCCTCATTTCCGGCTGGGGCACCACAACCAGCCCCCAGTGTAGGGGCTCCAGAGGGGGACACGGAGGGGGGCGGGTGACCCCGGTTGTGGAAGGACAGAGGGAACCAGAGGAACCTGCAGAGGGGAGAGTCCCAGAGTACGAGAGTATGAGAGGGGGATCCCTGGGGGTGTCAGTGGTGGGATAAGTCAACCCTGGCGGTGTCAGTGGTGGGATAAGTCAAAAAGAAGAGGGAAAACGTAAGAGCTGGGGGGCTGTGTGGAGACAAAAGTCTGGGCCTTGGGGTCAGACAGATATGATGTGCAATGCCAGATCCACGACCTGCTCGTTGTAGGACCTCAGGCACGTGGCTTCCCCTCTCTGAACCTTGGTTTTCTTCTCTATAAAATGAGGATAATCACACCCACCTACTAGGGCTGGATTAGAGATAGTGTATATAGAACGACTGGCATAATACATTTACTCGGTACCATTACCAGTGCTATTGCTGCGAGCACAGAAATGAGTTGGCTGTAAGCAAGAAGGACAGGGACTGGCTGTGGTGTGGGTGCAAGGCAGGCACTACAGGGTGGGGAAGGGGACCAGGGGCTCTCGTTTTCCACACCCCTTCATGCCGTTTCCACAGTGCACCTGCCCCATGCCTTGCGATGCGCCAACATCACCATCATTAAGCAGGAGGAGTGTGAGAAGGCCTACCCTGGCAACATCACGGACACCATGGTGTGTGCCAGTGTTCGGGAAGAGGGCAAGGATTCCTGCCAGGTCAGGGGGCAGGGCCTGGGTCTCCAGCCACCCATCCCATTCCCATCTCCTGGGATGAGATCCACAATCTCATTCCCAACCCTGACCCTGTCTCCCCTTGCCACCCCAACTCCATGTCCACCCCTAGTTCCCATTCCAAACCTCCAAGGGATCCCCAGCTCCATCCCCATTCCCACCCCTATTCCCAGCCCCAACCATCCCCCAATCAACCCTAACCCCATCTTTATTGCCACCCACAGCTCCAGCCTCATCCCCAGTCGTCCCGCCAACCCCATCCTCAGTCTCCACCCCACTCCTAACACCATCCCTACAACATCCCAACACCACCTCCTCCCTAACACGGCGCCCAACCCTGCCCCCCCTCCCATGGCCACTCCTCCTTTCTGACTTGTTGTCTCTCTCTCCATACCCAGGGTGACTCTGGGGGCCCTCTGGTCTGTGATGGATCTCTTCAAGGCATTATCTCCTGGGGCCAGGACCCGTGCGCTCTCACCAGAAAGCCTGGTGTCTATACAAAGGTCTGCAAATATGTAGACTGGATCCAGAAGACTATGGAGAATAACTAGCCAGGACCAGCCCAACACCCCTGATTTCTACTTGCCGATGTTGCTCTTGTTCATTCTGTTAACAGTCAAGCCAGAGCAAGGACACCTTTGTGTATTTTTTCGGCCTCCTTGACTATGAGAGATGCTATAGCTTAATAATCAACTTGGGGTTTGGAATCAGTGAGGCCTGGGTTCAAATCTTGCCTTGTACTAATTTGTGATTCTGGGAGAGATAATATTTGGTTCACTGTTGTATCCCCAAGCCCCAGAGACAGTTTCTGGCACTCACCAAGGTTTCAATAAATACTTACTGAACAAATGAATCTTTGGAGTGCTTACTATATGCCAGACCATGATCCAGGGGCTTTTAGATATATCAACTAACTTAATCTTCACAAAGATTAAGTGCCATTATTATGCCCATTTTGCAGATGAGGTAACTGGGTACAGAGAAACAAGTCACTTGCTCATAGTCACACTGCCAGTAAGGAGAAGAGCAAGGAATCTAAAGCAAGGTCTTTTCTTTTCCTTTTTCTTTCTTTCTTTCTCTATTTTATTTTTTTTTTAAGATTTTATTTATTTATTTGACTGAGAGAGACACAGTGAGAGAAGGAACACAAGCAGGGGGAGTGGGAGAGGGAGAAGTAGGCTTCCCGCCGAGCAGGGAGCCCGATGCGGGGCTCGATCCCAGGACCTGGGATCATGACCCGAGCCGAAGGCAGACGCTTAACAACTGAGCCACCCAGGCACCTCTCTTTCCTTCTCTCTTTAAAGCAAGCTGATTTCTTAACTACCAAGCGGAACTGCCTTGATTGAGGCTGTTTTCTTATCAGTAAAATCGTGCACTTATAAGAATGATAGCCCAGTAGGTACATCAGCCTGCACATAATTAAGACCTAAGAGAAGGAGCTATCACTGTTTTTCTTTCCAACCTCCAGGCGAGGTAGTTCCTCCACACTAGTGCAGCCAGTATGATAACCACTAACCATACGAGGCCTTTTAAGTTAAAATGACCTCACATATCAAATGCTCTGTAGTCACACCTAGGACTGCTGTGTTGAATAGCACACACAGGGCATTTCCACTGTTGTAGAGAGTTCAACTGGATAGTGCGGAGTCAACCTCTGCAGTTAACTCAATTCCCACTGGAAAAGATGCCCCACAACTAGTCCAGAACTCAGGATCTTTTTTGACGTCCTGCTCGGCTTTCAGGGGAGGTTGCTGGCGCGAGGAGTAAGAGCCCAGAGCTGGAACTGGGCCCTCCCGGTTGTTAGGTGGACTTGCTGTGTGACCTTCTGTGAGTCACTGCCTTCTCTGAGCCTCGATTCCTCACCTGAAAGGAGGGGGTTAGTTCAGGTCATACTGATGCTCCTCTGTGGCCTTGGCCTCCTGTGATTCATGGGCCCGTGTGTCATCTGAAGGCACACGGATGGCAGGGAGGATGTGATGTGACCACACTTGGGTGTGATGCGCAGCGCGCCCCCCCCAGCAGGAGGAAGAGGGGCGCTAGTCACTGGGACACACAGTGAGCCCACTGCTCAGGCTGTGGGAGTGGGCTCAGCCCAGAGCTTCGCGCTGGCTCTGGGGCTCTGCCTCGTTCCCTCTCTGCCCCCTTTCTATGTCCGTGATTTCTTCTTTTCTTTGTCTCTGTGTGTCCCAGTCTCTGTGTCTTCTACCCTTTCCTTCCATCTGCCTCCCTCTCTCCTGGCCAGCATTCTGGCTTTTCTCAGTCACTAGGTCTGCATTTCCCTGTTTGCTTTCCTCTCTCTTGGTTGTAATCACCTCTTTCCAACATTATCTCTGAGACCCGGAGGCTACCTGGGAACATGGCATGCTCTCTCCCCACTGAGAAGACTTTTTGGAATAGGACACCTGGGGAATCCCCATGGAGTCCAGCTCCAAAAAGGGTGTTTGGGGCTCTAGAAGAAGCCTGTATTCCTGGGGCCCCTCCCAGAGCAGGAATCTGGGGCCTAGGTTGGGTGCCAGTCCCACCCACGGTATAATTAGGGAGAGGGAAAGGGAGGGAGTGAATCCCTGGGGGGAGGGTGGGGAAATTTCCGGGCTCTTCGAGGTTAAAAGGGAAGGCCAGGCCAGGGGTCCCAGGGCAGAGGATTCCGGTGGCCCACTCGGCAGGGCAGAGGCATTCTTGGGTCTACTCCCTCCTTTCCAGCAGCGACTCCCAGGTGAGGTGGGATGCACCTCACCCTAGTAGGGGCGGGTCGCGGGAGCATGGGTGGGGACCTTTGGGTCGCGGACAGCCCTGTTTGAACCTCAGTTTCCCTATCTATGGCACGCGCCTCTGAGCCTCGGACCCTGGCCGCACCTGCGAAGGAGGGCGAACCCCAAAAGCTGCTTGGCGGGCAGTCCGGGAAAGCTCGGGCTGGGACCTCATTCCCCCCTCTGGTGTAGGGAGGTCAGGAGGACGCCAGGAGGGGCGTCATTAGGGTAATTGTGCCCACGTCGGGTATTCCGGCCCGAATCGCCAGTCTGTCCCTCAGCCCCTGAGATTTGCGCCGGCGGTTCAGCGGGTCCCCGCGGGGTGGGTTGGCCCAGGCCGGGCGGACGGGAGCGGTGGGGTGGGTGTGCGGGTGTCTGTGACGGAGTATCTGTTTTAATTCGCTCTCCCCCCCGCAGCCTCGGTCCTGGCCATGGGACCTCCATACTTCCACCTGTGCCCCGCCTCCCGCGCCCGGGCCCTGGCGAGGCTGCTACTGCCGCTGCTCGTGACGCAACTGTGGGGTGAGGCGGGGGACAGGGCTTGGCGGGAGGTCCCAGGGAGAGGGTGCTCTCCTCACCAACCCCCGCGCACCGCTCCTCCTCTGGGGACCCCAGCACCCACCCGCCGATCCAGAGGAGGCTCGCCCCTAAGTCAGCCCCACCCCTCGCCGAGCTTCGCTCCAGGGCCCCCCTCCCCCGGCCCCAGTTTGGATCCCTACTCCTTTCCCCTCTTGGCTTCCCTTCCCGGCCCCTTACTAACCCCGGCCCCTCTCTCGGTCCCATTCTGTCCCCGCCCCGTCTTCGTCCGCCCATTTCTCCCCGGGCTTGCCTTACGGCTTTGGCCCTCGCCCCTCTCTCCGCCCGCCGCTCTATTCCCGCCCCTGCTCCTCAAGCTCCGCCGCGATCTGCCCTCGCCCCCTGGTGGCCCCGTCGCGTTCCATTCGCGCTCTGCTCCGAGAGCGGCGCTCTGTCCCTCCAGTCTCACCCAGTCCGCTCTATTCCGGCCTCCTTTCTCTTCCCCGCCGTTCTTCCCCTCCCACTTCCATTCGGTTCCTGCAGGACCCCCAATTTCCACCCCCCCGGCTTCTCTGGTTCTGGCTGCGGAGCCCCCCCAGCTCCGGCCCTAAACCCAGCCCTTGTCCTGCCGGCTCTGATCTCCACCCCTTTTCTTTCTCCAGCCGCGGAGGCGGTGCTGCTCCCCAGAAACGACACGGGCTTGGACCTTGTGGCCTCAGGCGCTCCATGCGCACGCGGTTCGCAGCCCTGGCAGGTCTCCCTCTTCAATGGCCTCTCATTCCACTGCGCGGGCGTCCTGGTGGACAAGAGTTGGGTGCTCACAGCCGCGCACTGCGGGAACAGCAAGTAGGGGGAGCCCCTCGGGGCAGCCAGTGAGGGGCTGTGGAGGCAGGCCCGGGGGAGAGGGCGGGAAGGGCTGGGGCACTTGAATCCATGTGGGAGTCAGTTCCGGAGGGCTTCCTGTAGGAGGAGGGAGGGGTGTGTGTGTGTGTGTGTGTGTGTGTGTGTGTGTGTGTGTGTGGCCGCCAGGGGGCGGTGTGGTCCTTCTGAGCGTTTCTGGGCCCGTCCACGACCCCTGTCTTGCTGATACTCCTTGGGTTCCATTGAAGTGTAGATAGTTGTATGCAACAGAAGTCAGGGTTTGACTGAGGAAATTGTTCACCTCATGAGTCCGCACTGAGGGAGGAAGGAAGAGGTGGGCTTACCCAGGTGGACCCTTGCCCTCAATTCTTGCAGAACTCAGAGACCCAAACACCTGATCATTCTTCCCCATGTCCCAAGAACTCAGATCCCCAGCTCCCTTCTCCCACACCACCTCCTCCCTCAGACCCAGGAGTCCAGGCTCCTACCCTGCTACCAGTACCCTCCTTCCCAGGGACTCAGAGTCTGGTCGCAGTCCCTAAGGAGGCTTTGCCCCCATATATCTCTTCCCTTCCTAGTCCTCTGTGGGCTCGCATCGGGGACGACCACCTGCTCCTCCTCCAGGGTGAGCAGCTCCGCCGGACCACTCGCCACGTTATCCACCCCAAGTACCGCCAGGGCTCAGGCCCCATCCTGCCTAGGCGGACAGACGAGCATGACCTCATGCTGCTGAAGCTGGCCAGGCCTGCTGTGCTGGGGCCTCGCATCCAGACCCTGCGCCTGCCCTACCACTGTGCCCAGCCTGGAGATCAGTGCCAGGTTGCTGGCTGGGGCACCACGGCTACCCGAAGAGGCAAGAGCTGGGGGCCCTGAGGCCTGTATCCTGGGGAATACTTTGAGGGCCAGGACTTTGGGTCTGAGGGAGGAGGGGGCTGGGGGTGTGGACTCCTGGGTCCTGGAGGATTAGGGGCTGGCCACGGGTTTACCTACTGTTTTCTCCCATCAGTGAAGTACAACAGGGGCCTGAGTTGCTCCAGGGTCACTGTCCTGAGCCCTAAAGACTGCGAGGTCTTCTACCCTGGTGTCGTCACCAGCAACATGATATGTGCGGGACTGGACCAGGGTCAGGACCCCTGCCAGGTAAGGACTGGCCAGGATGGGTCTCGGACTCATGGGAGCCAGGATGGGGAAGTTATGAGAAATCAGAAGGCCCTGTCCCTGTCCCCAACCCCAGCCCGGTGCCATCCCCGTGTCCGACACTATTCTGTCTCTACCCCATCTTCATCCCCGTGTGTGACTCTCCACCTGTTCGTGCCCGGCCCTACCCACTTACCACCGCATCCTCAACAGCATTCCCATCTTCAGGCCGGTCCTAAACCCCGACCCCATCCCTACTCTCCATCCGTCTTCATCCCCTCACCTGCCACAAGCTACAACGCCAGGGCCATCACATTCCCATTCTCATCCCCACCCCCCGCCGTCCGATGTCCACAGCCCCCAGGCCAGTCCCACCCAACCCAAGCTCATACTTAATTCCAACGCCACCCCAAGCTCATCTTTACCCAAACGTAACTCCAGCCCTGCCCAAACCTCTTCGCTATCACTATCCCAGACCCCCAAGTGGGTCCATGTATTTATTTGATCTCTCCTCTTCCCACCCCCAGAGTGACTCTGGTGGCCCTCTGGTCTGTGATGAGACCCTGCAGGGCATCCTTTCATGGGGCGT